TATTTTATTTATTTATTATTTAAAGTATTAAAGTACAAAGTTTTAAAAGACAAAATATGTTGATATTATACAATACTATGCGTATATTTTGTGCATCTCTGAGTCTCTAAACTTTTTCTGTGTTGTCTGCTGACCTTTGCATGTCGTCTGCAGCTTCTGCAAAACTCCCCCAAAATTCCCATTTATAATTTCTTATGCCGGCCTGCAATATATAGAAACTGCAATGGGGAAAATTGCAATGTGGAAGGTATAACTGTATACGTAGTGCTTTAGAACTATAAATGTTATAAAGAGTAAAATCAGTTTCTCATTTGATCCTCATGGCCACCCTATAAGGTAGACGCTATAAATATTATTATATCAATTTTACAAATGAGGAAACTGAGGTTGAAAATGAATAAGTGATTTATGGAATATCAAAGGCAACCTCTTCATTTAATTGAAATCTCTCTGGTTGATCAGTGGATTAAGCTCAGGACTTGGAGTCAGGAAGACACGAGTTTGAATCCTTTGTCAGACACTTACTTGCTAGGTAACCCTGGGCAATTCCCTTATGCCCCCTGTGCCTCAGTTTCCTCATCCACAAAATGGAGATAATAATAATAGCACCTACCTCCTAGGGTTGTAATGAGAATCAAAAAAAAATGCTGCAAACTTAAAGAACACTATATAAGACTAGTAATTATTATTATTTACAAATGAAGAAATTGAGGACCAGAGAGGGCACATAGATAGTGGGAGAAATGGGATTCAAGTCTACGTCTGCTATTTGTACTTACACAAAGCCACAGAGCCAATAGTAGAAAGTAAAGTTCGAACCTGAATCCATATCTTCTCATTTCAACTCAAATACTAATTCTAATCTACCATGCCACCTTTATGAAGCAGCTTACACAATTCCTTGTATTGTAGAAATTCTTATGACTACCCATTAGACTCTAAATTCTATGAGGATAAGAGCTATTTCTTGTTTGTCTTTGTACCCTCTACAATGGCCAGCACAATATTTTTCATACAGTAGCCCCTCAAAAAATGTAAAATAAATGAATGAATGAATGAATGACACATGAACCCAACCCTTTAGAAGCCTTCAAACCAGTTTGATTTCCTCAGTCAGTTGACTGAAGGGATTGGGGCTGTTTCACTATGTTGTTGATGCAACCTTAGGCATGTAATGAGGAATAATTCAAATCCAAGCACAATAATTCTGAGATTCTAATCTCTTTAAGGACAGAGACTTTGTCTTAATCACCTTTATACCTATCCTAGTATCTGGGCTTGGTGCCAAAATCTGATATTCTGTGGGCAAACCCTGTGTGGAGATTCAAGTCTTAGAGTTAGTATCAATAAGCTTTCAAGATTGAATCCAACCTATGTGACCCTAGATCTGAAGTTCTGGAGCATAGATTATTCACATAAAGTGATAATTAAGTGTGTGTTGAATAAATGAATGAGCAACTACCATTAAAAAGCTGTAGGTAAAATAGCATCTGACCGCTGTGGGACAGTGGAAAAAGTATTGGACTGGTCATCTGTAATTGAGTTTTAACCATGGCTCTGAAACCAATTAGCCATGTGAACTTAGGCAAATCAATAAAACCAATTCAATCCAACAAGTCTTTATTAAGCACCTACTGTGTGTCAGGCACTACCCCCTCTCTATTGATTGATCTTCGTTTCCTCATCTAAAGAATGAGGTGGTTGGACTAGACCTCTAAACTTCCATCTATCTACGACATTCCACAATCCTGTATGTCAATGTAGTAACAATAATGCAAAAAAGAATTCTCTGTATGTCTCTTTGTCTCTCTGTCTCTCTCTGTCTTTTTCTATCTCTCTCTGCCTCTCTCTGTCTCTTTCTCTCTCTCTCTGTCTCTCTCTGTCTCTCTCTGTCTCTCTCTCTCTCTCTCTCTCTCTCTCTCTCTCTCTCTCTCTCTGTCTCTCTGTCTCTCTCTCTCTCCCCCTCCTTCCTTTAGATCCACTGAGGGTAGTGAATGCTGTTTCTCTAGTTAATACAAAGTATAGTATTTCTAAAGTTTTTGAAAACCCTGGGAGATATGAAACTCTCACACTAACATGAGGAGACATTTATACAAGAATGACATCCTAGGAGAGTGCAGGTGACTCTTCACAAATGTATAAATCCTTTACACTTATTCTTGTCCTTTCAGACCTTGTTCATTTTAAAGTATCCAATTAGTTGTAAGTCTCTTTATTCTCCATGGCTCATAGGGGAGGATTTTTGTCCTGTGACTCCGAGACTCTGACTAAAACATGGTACATCCCACCCACATGTGGGATTATTTTAAAGAAAGAAACTCATTATCTGGAGATAGTGACTTTACGTTCCTAAACATCCCCCTCCAAAAAAAAGATTTTGGTGAGTGTTTATAGTTGCAAGGTCACTCTCAAGAAGATGGATGTGCAAAGCAATTTCCAGAGATTTGCAATCATGCAAAAAGGGATAAATAAAGACGATGGCAGGGCCCAGGGAGTATTTTAAAAAACTCATTGGATGTAAAATTTTAAATCTGCCCCCAGAACAGCCCCCTCAAAATATTGGTCCCAGGAGACTTGAATGGGGGAAAAGCTGTCTAGCTGACAGACTAATGAGAATTAACTATAGTGTCCTTAGTAGCTTTTCTGTTCATAATAGGCACCCACTTTCACCTTTCTATGAATAATAGCCCACATTTACATGTGCTTTGAGGTTCACAGAACACTTTCCCTCCAAACTCTCATATAATCATTACAACAGCTGTAAAGTAGGAGTGGTAAATATTATTTGTCCTATTTTATAGATGAGAAAACCAAAGTTAAAGATTAGGTAGCTTTGCCCAGACTCATCCAGCCAATAAATACCAGAGCTAGCATTGAAACCAAAGTCTCTTCTGATTCTGGAGTCAATCCTCATCCCGCTGCACCAAGCTACCACTTTTAAGACCTAGTTTATTGAGATAGAGAAAGGCCTCTTAGTCTTGAAAAGGAGTTCAGTAACTTCCACAAAGCAGCTGGGATAGAATGCCAAAATTCCAAGGTGGTAGGACGAGATTACAAAATCACAAAATTTCAAAATTGAAAAGGACCTCAGTCGCAACGTAGCCCACCCCATACCAGAAAAAAAAAAAAAGAATTCCATTGGGGATCATAGATTGAGAACTGGAAGGGACCTTAGAGATCATCTAGTCCAATCCCTTCATTGTGCAGAAGAGGAAACTGAGGCCCAGAGGTGAAAACACTTGCTTCATTTTTCCCAGAAAAGTGACTGATGAGATTTGAACCCAAATCCAGTGTTCTTTCCACCATACTAGACTCTGCAATGTATTTTAAAGAGGATAATCAGCCTTTGCTTTAAGACCTTCAATGTGGGATGGAGTGTGGGGTGGAGTGAGACTAACTCTTAAAGCAACACATTTCCTTTTGTGTAGCTCTATGTGTTGCAAAGATTTTCCTTTCATCAAGCCAAAGTTTACTTTTCTCTGTCTTCTACCCCTTGTTCCTAATTCTGCCCCATTGGGCCACCAGGAATAGTCTGATCCCTCTTCCACAGGACAGCTCCTCAAACATTGAAGCCAATGAACATGGCTCCTCTAACTCTTGTCTTTTCTATGCTTCTCAACATCAATAGAAAGTACGGGTCCCCTCCCAGATCCTCCTGTTGTCCCTACATTTGCTCAGCCTGGAGCTGGATTAAGGGACACCTCCATTTGCTTATACCTCTCCTACTTCCACCATGCAGTTTTCAAGTTGTCCCTTCCCCCTCACAGGACTGGCAACTAATAGGATATGGCTGCACTCAGCAGAGACTGAGGAGGGAAAACTGAACACGTCTGGTTCAGAATGGTGCCTTGCCAATCCCATCAGAGAGACAGGCTCAGAGCAAAAGTGATTTTTGCATTAAATATGTATCATCTGTTCTTTAATATCTTGTTAGGTGTATGGTCCTGTTTCTGTGGATAATTTCCCATTCTGTGGATGATACTTAACGGTTTTCCCAGAATTCTAAAATCAGCTACAAGTCACCCCCAGCAGCCTTATCTGTCTTCAGAGCCAAGGGATTACTATGAGTTATGAATATGTCTTGCTTTGTTCTTTTCTGTCCCTTGAGTCCCCATTTTTCCAAAGGTGGGCATTAGCACACACCAACATTTCATATGAAACTGACTTTTTTAAGCTCCCAAGAGTCATCCCTAGCATCTGGAATTCTATGGCTGCTGAACCTGTGGCTCGATTTATAGCCACTGAAGAGCCTAGGAAGGGAGCAGAAGAGCATCCTACTTAACCACAAATGTGCAAATTCTCAAGAAAGACAAGAGGTCCTTGGATCTCAGACCTAGAGGGACCTCAAAGGCTATCTACTCCAACCCTTTCTTTTTTAACAGATGAGGAAATTAAGGTCCAGGGAGGTTAAGTCCAAGGTCACAGAGCTCCACCAAAATCCTGTCTCTTAGCACTTAGGTATAAAAGGGCACAATGACCTTGACATAAACTTGCCTGCGAGTGCGCGCGCACACACACACACACACACACACACACACACACACACACACACACACACGTATGACTCCAATGTATGACATAATCTCCAGTCGGGCCCCAACCCAATTCACAGGTCAGGTGCAATGTGTAGCTTTCTAAATGAACAGATTTTTGACAAGGAACCCCAATCTGTCCCCAGCCACAAATGGTTAATTCATGCTGTTGTGAGCTGCTCTCCAGCATTAAGGAGTTTATGTGCCTTTAATCAGATTGATCTACAATCCAACAGCAACTCCAAAGTGAAGCTTGGGGGGGGGGGGTTGAAGCCACAGTGTACCCAGCAGCACATAGCTACAGCTTCAGAAAGGAATTCTGACAAGGTAATTATTAAGCACAATCATTGAGACAGTGTAGGAAGGGGGAGCAAGGCTGAGAGCAGGGAAGGTGATTTTTATTCACACTTCTGGGAGGTAACCCAAGCAGCATTAGCTGGCTGGATGTAGCCACAACCTGTTTTGCTTCCACTCTGCCCTCCAGGGCCTCAGCAGGCACGGTCCTCTAGGAAACGAAATGGGAGGGGACACCACTTTCAGAAAGGTCATTGGAACTCTGGGAGCTCCTGCGGGTCCTTGCGTTTTTCTAGGGAGACATGCAGGCAAGAGCCAGGGCTAGCTAGCAAGTGCAGCCTCTGCTGCCTCTCCAGGCTGGCTGCCCCCACCTCGAGGAGAAGGATGAAGTGGCAGGCTTTTTGGACAGGATTGGAATATTTCTGTCGCTTCCTGGGCATCTCCACGGCAGCAGGTAAGACAAACTCTTCCTGCCTCCTGGCTACCTCAGGTGTGTTCATAGCAAACAGTCCTACCAGAGGAACTGGGAACCACAGGGAAAGGAAAGAAACAGACAAGAAGAAAGAGACATTCATCTGCTCTGTCACTATTCTCCATGACCCAAGGGTTTCTTTTCCAAGACCCCCAGATCAGCTGTTTCTAGGGATGGTGTTGTATAGAACTGAACACACAGGTCAAAACTTACCAAGTTGTATCCATTCTAGCCAAGTGGAGGGTAAAAGCTTGTGGCATTGTTAAAACTTTCTTCCAGAGAGAGTTCCCCGTGTCGGAGCAATTCTGACATTGGGATAGAGTGTGAACTGCATCATCAATCATTTTAATAATTAAATAAAGAAATTGATTGATGGATGGCATCAGGAAGTACAAAGGTTTGCTTATATTACAAAAGCCATGCTTCTTGAGTGCTTCATTCTACTCACCTACAACATGAAGGGATGAGTCTCAGTGGTGTCTAAGTTCACTCCCAACTCTCACATTCTATGATATGTTTCTCTGGGATTAGAGCAAGATGCCCAAAAGCCAACCCCAGTCTAACCCTTTAACAGAAGCAGAGAGGAAAAATAGGGAATGATTGCAAGAATATAGGCATTTTTGGAAAAGTATTTGTTATGCAGTGGGAAACATGTTGACTTTGGAGTTGAAAGACTTGGATTCATAGCCCAGCTCCAATGCTTGCTATCTATATGAGCTTGGGGAACCAATGGGAACCTTAGTTTCCCCATCTCAAAAATGGATATGACGAGAGAACCTATTTCAAAGGGTTGTTCTAAGGAAAACGTTTTGTAAACCTCCAATTATGGAAATATGAATTGTGATTGTCATTAAGTCTTTAGTAGACTCACGAGTGCTATATAAATGTGAATTTATTATTGTTGCTATGGTTATACGGTCCTCAGCTTTTTAAGGTGGAGTTCATATAGACAGAGTTCTGGGACAAGACACTATCCTATTTTCTTAATATATTTAATATTATATGGATACTACCCAGGTGGATAAGAGTATTGCTTGTTATGATCGTGGTTATCATCAATAGTGGAGTACATCAAGCAAGGGTGCTTGGTTTAGAGTCAAAAGGCTTGAATTCAAAACCTGCCAGTCACTTCCTGTTTGATCTTAGGGAAAGTCAATTAACTCTTTGAGCTTCAGTTTCAAGTGAGGGGCTTAGACTATTCGGCCTTTAATATCCTGTCTAGCTTTAAAGCCTATGATCCTATTATCATTGTTCTCATTGCTTAGGAGAAAGTTAGTTACTATGTAGATTTTGTAGAGACTTTTTCTTTTTTAACTTCACTTTAGTCCTACCATCAACCAGCAGGTCCTCAGACCATTCTTTCCATCATCCACTCTTTGGGGATGATAGGGAATGACAACTCATTTGCAAGACTTTGTTAATTCAGTTGGTTGAAATGCAGGCTCCTCCATCTCCATCCCCAACTCCTTCAGATGCTTGCCCATAGTCCCAAAGACTCAGCACAAATCCATCCCTACTCAAAGCAAAAGCCCTGCTGGAATTGGGACAGCAACGTCCTCTCCCTACATAAAAAGGGCAGTACATTAGGTGAAATTAGGAGCAAAGCATTAAAAAGGTAAATCTGCTGGGGTGGGCAATCTATAAGAGAGATCTAAAAGCTAAAGCTATATTTGATTGTCTAATGTTTTAGATTATTCATGCCACTGTACCCTTTCATTAGCAGAAATAAATAAGAGTGGATTATAGTATGGTAAATGGGATAGAGACATGTCTGTAAGCCATTAAAAAATTATAGATCTTTCCTCCTAATGGATTAACCAAAGGCAGTTAAAAAGTCTAATGTATCTATACCCACAGCAGAGACTGAAGTCCCTTCTCTGTCTGTACATCACTTCTCTTAACCACAGCTTTTTCTTCCTGCTCAAAGTCCGGCCATTAACATCGATGTCAATAATTAGACCTCCACAGCCTACCTCCAACCTACATATCAAGTCATATTTTCTATGACTGCCCTTCACATAGTAAAGGCTCCAAGGGAATAGGGCTCCTTACTCTCATATGCATTTTCATATGTCATTCTTTATACTTAGAAATAATGCACCCTCACTTACAAAATTCAGCCTTTAATTAAAAGCCTAGCTCAGATTCCACCATCTCTCCTGATTTAAAAACAAAAGCATAATTCTGAGAAGAAGCCCATAGGTTTAATCAGACTTTTTTTTTGAGGCATTCAGAGTTAGGTGACTTGACCAGGGTCACATAGCTAGTCTGAGGCTGGACTTGAACTCAAGTCCTCTTGACTCCAGGACCCATGCTCTCTCCCCTACACCACCTACCTGCCCACCTTTTTTTCTTGAGGCAATCAGGGGTAAGCAATTTGCTCACTCAGGTCCTTTTGACTCTGACACCAGTGCCCTAGCCACTGTGCCACTTAGATGCCCCCCCTTATGTTTAACTTTTTGTTAAAATGCTTCGGATACAGAAAGAAGTCCATGAAACATACACACACACACTTGCACACACATGCATACATGTGTGCACCATGTGTGCACATGCACGCACGCACGTGTGCACGCGCGCGCGCACACACACACACACATACACACACACAAAGGTTAAGCACCCCTACTATAAATTGCAGAGAAGGTGCTGACCTATATTGGTAGAGAGACTTTCTTCACTCAGGAATTCCATGTAGCAATAACCTCCTAGGTCTAGCCTTTATCCTTATTTCCTCCTAGATTGTAAGCTCCTCAAAGAAAAATATCATCTGATATTTTTTACTTTGGTTTCCCCAGTGCCTTGTACATTTCTAAATGTTGCAAGGATCCATGATTTCATTGCTACCCTTTGATGTCTCAGTAGACAACGTGGCTGTTGTTGTTTAGTCTAATCAGTTGTGTGTAACTCTTTGTGACCCCATTTGGGATTTTCTTGGTGAAGATACTAGAGTTGTTTGCCATTTCCCTTTCCAAAAATGATCTGCCCAGGGCCACATACCTAGTAAGTATCTGATGCTGGATTTGAACTCAGGTCCTTCTGACTCCAAGACCAGCATTCTATCCAGTGTGCCACCCAGCCGTCTCTTAAAACAGGACAGTTGGACTGCTGTTCTCTTGCGTTTGACTCCTTGTGGCCCCATCAACCATTTTGTCTATGGGGTTTTCTTGGCAAAGGTACTGGAGTGATTTGCCATTTTGTTCTCCAGTTTTATGCAGGCAGAGGTTAAGTGACTTGCCCAGAGTCACACAGCTAGTAAGTGTCTGAGGTCAGATTTGAACTCTGGTTCTTCTGACTCCAGGCCCAGTGTTCTCTATCCACTTCACCACCTAGCTACCCAGAAACACAGTTAGACAGAATTTGACATTTTAAACATGGTGCCACATTTGAGAAGGAATTTTAGCAGGCTACAGTAAATCCAGAGTAACACAAATAAGATGGCAAAATGACTCAAAACCATTCCATAGGAAATTCTACTGAAGGACATGATGTTATCTAGCTTGTAGAAGAGTAGACATTAGGAGGGGAAAAGAATAGCTCTCTCCAAATATTTGAATGGTTGGCATATGAAAGATGGTTCAGACTTGGCCCCAGAAGACAGAACCAGAGCAGCTATGGGGAGTGGAAGCTATAGGGAGGAGGATTTTGGCTAGACAGATGGAAAAAATTATTAATTATTATCGCTGATAATAAATAACATTAATTTGGTGAGTCCCCAGGAGCTCAGGGCCACCAGGCTACTAGGAGGAGTAAACTAGGCCAAGTTGGAAACAGAGCAGATTAAAGCCAAGTGGGAAGAGGCCTGTGAGTTATCATTGAACTTCTATCCTAGGTAAAATGCAGGAACTCAACAAAGAAAAGAAAAGGGAAGGGAAGGGAAGAAAATGAAAGAGAAAGGAAGGGAAGGGAAAGAAAGGGAAGAGAAGGGAAATGAAGGGAAGGAAAGGGAAGGGAATGGAAGGGAAGGGAAGGGAAGGGGAAAGGGAAGGGAAAGGAGATGGGAGAAGGGAAGAGAGGAGAAGAGAAGAAAAGAAGAAAAGGAAAGGAAAGAAAAGAAAAGAAAAGAAAAGAAAAGAAAAGAAAAGAAAAGAAAAGAAAAGAAAAGAAAAGAAAAGAAAAGAAAAGAAAAGAAAAGAAAAGAAAAGAAAAGAAAAGAAAAGAAAGAGACATGTAGAAGAGGGATTAGATTTGATTTGCTTAGTCCCCAGGGATCAGGACCAGGCCCAATGGTTGGAAACGTATGAGAGGCAGATTTTGCCCCATTTGATAAAAACCTTCCTAAGAATTAGAATTGCCCAGTGCTAGGATAGACATCTTTATAACAGAGTGCATCCCCTGTTACTGGAGATCTCTGAAGGCATTCAAGTAAAACCTGGATGGTCATTTCTCAAGGATATTGTAGAAGGTGCCCCTGTCCAAGTTGGCTTAGATGACCTCAGAGGCCCTTTCCAACTCTGAAGATATGTGATTCTGAGAACATTTACTGTTCAAGCAGCTAAATTCAAGCAGGAGTGGGTACAGCCCTGAACTTAGAGTCATTAAAACATAAATTCAAATTCCGACTCAGACATTTGATGTGTGACCCAAGGCAGCTCACAACCTCTCTCCCATTCAGTTTCCCCATGTATAAAAATGGGGATAATAATAATAATTCCTACCTCTCAGGGTTGTTGTAAGGATCAAATCAAATAGTATATATCAAGTGTTCTGCAAAACTTCAAGTGCTATGTAAATGCTAGCCATTATACTATTCCAAGAAGGATTACATCTGCATTTTTTTTTAATTTCTCAGTTGTGTTGTAAACCTGGATTATGTAGCTTTGAAAGGGTGTGTAGTCATGGCACAGATGGGTGGGGATTCTGACTCCTAAACAGTGGCCAAGCTTTTATTTTAGCTAAAGCAACAATGTTATGACTCAAGCTAAACTTATGCATAGACACAATAGAAAACCACCTACCAGTACAGATTCAGGGTTGAGGAA